AAACACAACAACAATTCAGAAAACATTATAACAAGTCAGAAAACACAACGACAAATCTGAAAACAAATTAACAAGTCAGAAAACACAACGACAAATCAGACAAACCGAAGACGTAGGTATAGTTTGAGACGGCGCCATTGGTTTGGGATTACTCACCGTTGACTGGACGAGACCTCTGTCAATCAACGTATACAGGGAAGAACCAGCCGAAGAACAGCAGAGTTGTGGAAGAAAGTTCGGAGATTGTATTAAAGTAGCTCAGTTTAAATGTATTGTACAGCTCCAGTGGCGCAGATGGATAAGCGCTTGTCGTTGGCTTTTTGTCGGTCACCGTATGATCTTCATATTCAGTATTACTGAAGTATAATGAATGAAATAGTATATATGACTGAATGCACCAGAAAATGTCATTGCTTTTGGCTAAACAACAGAATAAATGACAGATGAACTTACCGTATATTTTTTTTTATTCCAATTATAATTGATTATAATATAGTTGATAATTTGCTTAATATGCGTTGGCTGTTGACTTCATGACCAAAAATACTTTGCTTTCATCCTGTCTGTTACAGGCTGAGGCTAAACCTACTGTTAGAGGCTTAAACTGTTTTTTTCTGTCATGATGTCAATTTATAAATAAGCATGAATGAAAAATGAAAAATATGAAAAAAAAAGTGGTTAATATTCCTTGGTTAGTAGTGCTGATAACACAAGTTTGAGGTCTGACTGTGTAATTTGTAAAAAAAAAAATAAAAAATAAAAAACTCTCGGTAATTTTAACATTGGCATAAAATAGAAATTCACCCTATTTTCGAAATACATGATCTTATTGTGTACAGTTTATCAGTGCATGCTTTTCTTTCTTTTCAATTTTTTTTTTTTTCATTTTGACCTCACAATATCATAATTTTGAATCACAATATCATAACTCGACCTTCCGGTTAAAAGGAAAGACGCAGATGCAGAACTTCTCCAATCATTTAAGCCTGGAATACACTACACGATTTTTGCCCTGATTTTCCACTGATTTACAGTCTGGACAAGTTGACGCTAGTTGCCGAAATTCAAAGCCAGTCTGCAGATTTGAGTTGACAGATTTTAATTAATCAAAATATAAATTATTCAAGTATAATCAATGTGAATATAGCCATTTATGGATTAAGTTATTCTACTATTTCAGTCATGTATTTTAAGTCCTTAATACGGTTACGTTCACACACAGTTCGGTTGTTTACGGGTGTGACAACCACATTCTGTAACCAAACTCAGAGCTGTAAATTTTGAGGACTCACAACAACCGCATTCTCGGAAATCAGGAGCTGTGTTTTGAGTTGACACTTCCGTTATCTGTCATATGCGGAAGCCGTTCCGGCGGATGACGTAAGACGTCGGCGTTGCGTGATTAG